GCGCCGCAGGCGGGGGAGGCTGGAAGGAGACAGCCCGTGCCGGGGAATAGGCGTGGGTTTTCCTCTGCAGCTACACGTTGTGATCAAGCTGAGGAGGTGTGAGAAGGGTGGGCAGTGTGTCTCGGGAGGTGTTGGGTAAATCGGAGAAGGCTCAGCTGAACGGTTGCCTTTCGTGCTTGGGCATCCCGGGTCTCAGACGCTTGTGCTGCAGGGGGGCACGGACGAGGAGCTGAGGAGACCTAGTGCCTCGGGGTCGGGAAAGCAACTGCAGACGAGAAGGAAATTCCTTCTGCTGGAAACAGGCAATGTGTGCATTTTCCATCATTGCTTCTCTAGTGTCTTGTAAAACATCGGACTTCAAGGTACCCCATCCCCAAGGGTGTGACAAATATGGGGCTATCAGATGCCTCAGGAAGTGCTTTTTCTCCCCAGGACACTCTCCCCAGCTGTGCAAAAGAAACAGACTGTGCTTCTGCTGACATTTTGCTGATCGTCTTGGGAGCTGGTTGGCTCTGCAGCCTAAGAGACAGAAAAATGTCTTTTAGTGATAACCAGAAAAATTGTCTGGCATGAAACCAAGCAGTGGGCGGGACACTGAAAGCCCAAGGGGCTCCAGAAGTTATTAATGCCTGTCTCACTTCTTCCTGAGGAGTGGAAGCTCTTGGTCAATGCAGTAGCACACAGAGCTCTTGGGGAGGGGGCTGGAATAGTTAAGGTGCCTGGTACCTTAGCATAACTGTGGTCTCTGTCTGTATTTGTTCTGCAGAACTCACACAGTCACAGGGGAATGAGAAGCTGCAGTGTTCAAACCATGATGCAACACATATGCTTGTTCTCTCCCCTGATGGGGAGCTTTCTGAACAGTGGGCTACAGCTTCATCTAGCTGCTGTAAGACAAGGTAAGAAGCTTACATGAGGTGGAGGTATGGATGGATGATCAGAGGTCACCCACTTTTCCTAAAGGTAACATCCAAGAGACTGAGGCGTGTTCCTGTTGTAGAGAGGGAACATGCATTCCTAGTACCCAAACTTTCATCTTCTTTTGTTACCCAGCAAGAAGTGAGGTGATTTCGAGGATAACACCAAGATCTGAGCTGCTTGAGATGCTCATGAGACAGCTTTCTCCCAAACTTCTTAAGGGTCGGTATCATGTATCAGAGTCTCACGATCTGATAATCGGATGCATGGGGATTCTTTGCAATCCTGTCAGGGCAAAACAAAGATAATAAAATATTGGGTGTAGAAATAGCCTTCTATTTAGGTACAGATCAGCTGGTAAGAGTTACAACTATGTATTTGTCATAAGCTTATAATAGATGTCATAGCTAACCCTAAGCTACAAAAGAGAGAGATCAGGAAAGGAAATAAAGAGTTAAAGGAAAGTCAACACCCAGAGCTCCAGTGGCATCCAGCTGGTCTCGTAGTAGAAGGACGAAGGACGATGATGATCCAGTCCTAGGATGTGACTTGAGACTGGTACTCTTCTCCTTTATACAATTAATTCCTGGAATAGCCATGAGTGGTTACCCAACAACTGTTCTATGTTTGTAGTGAAAATTCTTTATCACCTCCTGCATTTCTTTAGCCCAGTTATTTGTATAGACCTTAAGTCTCTTCTGCCAAGTTGTTGATTTTCATGGAACACTCTTGGAGTCTCTTAATTAGTTTAAGGCCTGGTTATCACTGGATACTCTGCTCAGTGCTAGCTGTGGCACCTATTGTGTGTGCCTCTTTGTCTACAATCTTAGCACATCCCACACCAAACTCTCCAGTTCACAGTTACCTGTGGCCACATCCCCACATGGGGTGCTTGCCATAAAACTGGTTTGGTGGGTTGAGACCATCTCTTTGTTAAACACTGCTTATGTCTTGGATGTGACAAACACCAGACATCCTAAGTGTCTGAGTACACTGTTTATCTCTTGGATTGTTCAAGACAAGCACTATGCATCCAGGATGTCACACAGAGTAATGCAGATCACTTGCAAACCACATGTGCCTTGGGAAAGGTGCAGGTGAAAAGGCCCAAGCACATCTGAACCTGGCCACCTTTTGATTAAGCTGCAAGGGTAACTGTCATTTAAAAATGGCACAGCAGTGTGCTGTGAGATTTTCTGTTAACTTGCCTAGGGCTGAGCCTGACTCTCTCTCAGCTTCCCATGGTGCAAAGCTAAATCAGTTATCCCAGCTGCAGCAGGCCAGCCTGACTCTCTCTCAGCTTCCCATGGTGCAAACCACAGCTAAAATCAGTTATCCCAGCTGCAGCAGGCCATCAAAAGACAGGGCTACCAGCTACAGGGTTACCTGTGCTTTTCCACATAATTCCTGCTAAATGTGCTATGACGTGGTGAGCAGAGAATCCTCTTCCTTTACTTTGTCTCATGGCACAGCATCTATCTATTTTAATTTGTTTTGTTTTGTTTTGTTTTTTCTTTATTGCTATAGGCTGGTGAGAGAGCTAAGACACCAAGACATTGTTCAAATATCATGTGGGGACCAGCACGCCATGGCGCTCTCCAGAGGTAGCCTCTTTCAAACACACTTTTCCTCCAAACAGGAGTCACATTATGGCAGGGTTGCGCCTCACCCGGGAAAGGTGTTTGAACTGTTTCCAGTAGCTGGTGACACCATTAGAGAGTAATGAGGGATGGGTGGGAGACAAAAAGTGTACTATCAGTCCTGCCTTTTCCTCCCAGCACTCAGGGACCTGCAGCTTTATCCCTCTCCAGTTCCTGAGAACTCCCAGTCCACAAATGTGTGTTGTGGAGAACAGACGTGGTCGCCCAACCCTGTGGTCATCAGACCTGCTCATTCTTAAGTTGGAGCACCTCTCTGCTTGGGAACTTCTTTCAAGTATGGTTTTAGAGGTGGAAACACACTGCCTTTATTCTTGCTGTGCTGAGCCACACAGGCAGCATGGGACTGCCCCAAAGGGATCAGAAGCAAAAAGGGAGTTTTGGCTGCAGATCATGGTCTCACCTTGGAGCCAGGTCCCTGGAAACAGCACTGCTTTTCACTGCTACTCCCAAAGTGCTAAGACTCAAAGTGAGTGAGGCTGAGCTGTTTTTTTTGTTCTGTGTGTGAAGGAGGTGAACTCTTCACATGGGGCAAGAACGCTCACGGACAGCTCGGTGTGGGGAGCCTCACTGCGTCCATCCCTCAGCCACACCTGGTGAAAAGACTAAAGGGTATCCCACTTGCTCATATTGCTGCTGGAGGAGCTCACAGCGCCGTCGTGTCACTCTCTGGAGCTGTGTACTCCTGGGGGAAGAATGGTTTTGGACAGCTGGGACTTGGAGACACAGAAGGTAAGTAAGGACAGCGGTATGAAGGTTTGTTTTTCTGGCCAGTTGGCTTACTGCAGGCACAGGAATGGTCCTCAGGGCTGGAGAAGCAGTGGACAGGAAAGACTTTTGAAGAAAGTGCATCTGGGTAAGTTCTTTGTTTCCTGGACAGGAAGGGAATGCAGGAAATAGGGGGTTTACAGGTTATATTTCTACAGAGACCTTCCAATCATTTTATCTGGCCAACTGGGATAGTGTGTGTTCTTAAAACCGTATGTCTCAGAGGTCTCTTTCCACTCCTATTCTCTCCAGACAGTCTTGCATGAAATAAATTAATTTTATACCTCTTTTCCTGTTTTAATTCTCTGTAAACACAAGGTGAGAGAAAAATTAAAATCACACATCTTCAAAACTAGAAGTCTAGAACAGAGTTGCCCCAGACAAGCAGGATCTAGCCAGGTGAGATCTGCATGAGTCCTCGCCCTTGAGAGTCAGATATTTTGAAGCCAAGTAGCTTTTGGCACCAAATGTGAAGGAAAAGAAAATACTATGAAAAAGTCAGAGCATTATGAGAGAGAATATATTGTAGTGAAGGGTAGAAAACCACTCAAAGTCAGATTGTAAATACACGAATTGCTGTAAGAGAGGATTGAAAAGCACTACCCTCCCCCCATTTTCTAAATCTGTATTTGTGTGAGACCCCCCCAGTACTCTTTCACTTTAGCAGTGCTATCTTCCTTCCAGACAGAGACTGCCCAGCCTATGTTAGAGCGTTAGAGCACTGGAAGACTGTATTTATTGCATGTGGGGCAGATCATACTGCAGTTCTCTCCAAGGTGAGTCTGAAATGGAAAGTCAGCATCTGATAGCTCACCCTGCATGAAAAGATACGTTGTTAAAAGTCAGCACAGAGAAACTGGGATGGCAATGCCTGCTTCCATCCAAATTGATCCCCAAGGGTTGCTGAGTAAGCTGTTGGGAAAACTGGCCTTTTCTCAGATTCCCATCACCTGCATGCAAGCTTTTGGAGGGAGGTGGGGAATGGGAATCCTGGGGCAAAGAGATGTAGCTCAACTCCCAGTACTTTTTGAATTTATTTTCTTTTTTATAGCATATTTGGGACTTCAGAAAATGTGAACAATAGCATATTCACTCATACAAATAAAATTCTTAAACAACAGGGAATTATTTTCAGGAGTTAAATTGCTTTACTCAGGAGTTAAATTATTTGGACATAAGGCAATGTAAGATTAGGCTTGATGTGAAGTGAACTCTACCTGTGTTTGAATCAGGGGTGTTTTGAATCAAGTCCCATATAATGTATTATATCTTGCTGACTCTCACTCTTGGTAGTGACCATTTGAATGCCTTTAACAGTGCAGTGATCCTGTTTGTTTCTTCAAGGAGGGGCTGGTGTGCACCTTTGGAGCAGGAGGGGCTGGTCAGCTTGGTCACAACTCTACCCAGAATGAACTTGTGCCTCGTGTGGTGGCAGAGCTGTGGGGAGCAAGAGTTTCACAGGTTGCCTGCGGCAGGTGGGAAAGTACCAGAAACGTGCCTTTTAAGGTTAAGGTCTTGGGGGAATCACTGAAAAGCAGTAGGGAGGGGAGCCACTGGGATGTTCACATCCCTGTATCCTGGCAGTTCTGCACTGTCAGAATATTGTCCACTCTTCAAGTGTAAGCCACCCCCCTGCCACAGCCCCAGCGAAGCAGAACTCTCGGTCTGTGCTGAGCAGAGGGAGAAGGCTGCAGAAAACACCAGCGGCCCTTGGCTTTTTGCTGTCTTAAGAAACAAAGGGTATACTAGGTTACAAAGGGCAGAAGACTGTCAAAAGCCTGTGTTGGGAAAGTCACCAAATTCCCGTCCACTTTGACAAACTGGTGGGCCCTTAGAAAGAACTGAAGAGTGGTGTTAATTACTCGGTATCATTCTGCCTTTCCTGTCTACTTTCTTGGGCTTTGTATCAATCTCAGCAGCATAGAAGCTGTGCATTTAACAATGGAAGGGTGTGAAGCTAGCAAGGCATAATGCTTTATTTTTGTATGTGGAATCAGGATAAATCACAAACATTAGAGAATAGTGCAGGAAATTTGACTTCATATGTTTCTTTATTGCTAAATATTTATGGAAGGAAGGGTCCAAAGACTTTGGCTAAAAGGGTTCTATAGCTGGACTGTCAGGATTTTCGGACAAACCTCAGCTGTCTATTCTGAAAATGCATCAGTAAATTTTATTTTGACTACCTCAGTGGTACTATTATAATTACAATTTTTCTTTTTCTGAACAGTCAGCAGACACTGGTCTATGTCCCCTCCTTGGACAAAGTCTATTCATTTGGCTCTGGTGAAGAAGGACAGCTGGGAGATGGGAGAAAGCCTCATCAGTTGATACCACTTCCCATCACTTCACCAGCGAATATTGAAAAATTGTGTCAGGGTAATGCCCGTGTGTACAATCTGTACTTGTTTCTTCCAGGGAAATGTTTGCTTTCTTGATTTCATGTTTACACCAAGAGGCTTACATGCTGTCTCATGCTTGCTTGGTCATCCCAACAGATTCTAGCAATGGATAATTGCATTTGCTGCTTGATTTATCATCCTGGGTAAAAACCACATAGACAGACAGCTGCTATCTGAGGGTTTTTTTACTGTTCCACATCTCTGCACTGACCTCTCTGAAGATTGTCTCTTCCAATGTTCCTTTGAAAATCTTTTTATTCTTTTGCAGAAAATAGCACATCACAAAAGGTTACTGGAAGTATTACAAGAGGAATCCAAAGTAGTGTTCTTCGCAAAATGATCAAGGTATGTCAATATTTGATCATGGCTTCTGATTTTACCATTGTTCATATAACTGCTGCAAACACCTGGATTTTCCATCCTGCTTTTAGCATTCCATGTTCATGTATGTCTCCTGCAGTTTTTTCCATACTTGCCCAGAAACTTATTTGTATTGCACTTATATATCTGTTCTGTGATTAATGCATATGGATGACCATTAATTTGTTCATACTTAGGCTGAAATCTTCTTGTAATTATTGTCTTGAAAAAAATAATCCCATCTGCTAGAATTGTAATTTTGTCAATATTTTCTTGCATTTCACATAGAATTCCTATTTGAAGGAAATTGCCACTCTGAAGGATAAAGATGTGGATGCATGGATTTCTAATTCCAGTTTGCAACATTGGGAGCTTATAAAACAGTAAGTCAGAAACCTGCTTTATATTTTTTCTTTCTTTTTCTCTTCCTTCCCCCCCCAATATATGATTTTTTCTAAAAATTATCATTCTTTGGAGTCTATTGCAGGAAGTGATGTTCAAGAATTTAGCTGAGACAGAATCTTGTACCAACACTTCTTACCTAGTTTTCTGCACAGGGAAAAAGAGATGTTGATAAGCAGCAGCCCTTTGCTATCCCCTCTGTGGGAACAGAGCAGATGACCTGCCAGGCTTTGGAAGCCTGTCCTCCTCTTCTTGCACAGAATGGTTGTTAAGTTGATGAAGAGCTGACCAGCTAAATGAGCGAAAGGTGCAGTCTGTGCGCCAGGGCCTTGTGCAAAAATATCAATCCAGAGTAACCAAACTGGATTGCTTTGTGTGTGTCAGCATTTAAAAATTAGCCATCCCTTCATTAGTTATCCATTTTCAAAAGCAGGAAGTACACAGTACTGTGGGAAGACTTACACTTATGGCTGAGAATTACGATTACACTGTCTTTTTTTCAGATCTTACATGGGAGGCTATTTTCTTTGGGCAAGTCTGCCTCCAGCTGCTGATTCTGGGCATTTAAAAATCTTGGCTAATTTGGATCTAAATAACCATTTTTAGGGTGGCTCCGATCATATGGAAATAGGTTTTTGAGAGGGTGAAAGAGAGGGTTCTTCCCAGATCTCAGTAGGAAGGGCCTGACAGCAAGTCACTTGATAAATAGCTGCTTTAATAAGGATATAACCAGGGATACAGGTAGTTAAGTCTCATGTCCCTGCAGATGCCAGGAACCCAAGATTTGTGTAGCAGCAAACTGATACCCTGATAGATTTTCTCTCAACGTGCTACAAAGATCCCTGTCTGTGGAGGGGTTCCTCCTCCTTTCCATGCCACAGTGGCTTTTCTTTTGCATAACAAACAAAACCAGATACTGTCCCAGCCTGTCAGGAGAAGATATCTCCATCATAACACCCACCAGCATGCAGCAGAGGCTGGCATGGGGTGCTTGAGCAGGTTTCTTTCCAAAGGAGAGCAGAGGTGGCTTGCTGAAGATCACTAACTCCTCAAATACAATGTCTTCTTCAACGCTGTCAATAAAGTGGTGCTAAGAAAAGTTTTCTCTGGTCAGGTGCAGACACACGTGTACAGAGGTTTATTGTTCTTTCAGAATTAAAAACCTGAAGTTGCTGCTCATCTTGGAAGGACTGACTTTGGTTTGTTTTTTAATATCAGGAATATCAGACTGATCTTTTCATCTGAGGCTTGCATCAACGGAAGCTTCCTGGGGAAAAGGTAGACTTGGATGTGACGGAATGGATTGTCTGCATGCCAACTGACCAGCAAGTGTTATTATATAGAGATTTGTCATTTCTGAATTTGCAAGAAACAAGTCTGTATTTTTCAAAGCCCATGCTAAAATGATTTTTTTTTATCCCACCCAGGCCTATTGAAATTTGTTGTAGAAGCTCACATTCTAGCAGATTAGCCCTTAGTGAAACTTAACACACTTAATACCTGGTGGTATTTAAAAGATGTGCAGATGAGGCACTTAGTGGTGAACTTGGCAGTGTTAGGTTAACAGTGGACTCAATGATCTTAAATGTCTTTACCAACCTGAATTATTCCATGATTCTATGATAAGCCCTTTAGGCAATATTACAGCTCCCAAAGGATCCATAATAGCTTCTCCCCGTAGGTTTAGGGTGAATTACAGGAAGCCCACCATTAGCTGTGTGCAGCTACAAAAGACAGGAAGGACAGAATATTATTAATGAGGTCACACCGCACCAAGACCATCTTCTTTGAACAGATGAAATGATACCCATTGGAGCTGGGGCTGAACTTTCCAAATATTTTCTGATGTTAGCATGCTTCACTATTCAGTCAGGAACAAAGAACAGCTGCTCACATAATTTGGTGTGTGTTTTCTTCCTTTGTGACAGTGACAAACACTTCAAAACTTCCAAAGAATTCTCAGGTGTAGACATGTCAGAAGTGCAACAATTTTATGAGAAGATCAGGAAGAAGCCAGAAGTCCTCCAGGAGGTAAGGATTCTCACTATACAGATACTGAGGAGGTTGGGATTTGTGTATGAAACTTGGGAATTCTGTGCCAACCTAATTCATAGATTATTTTGGAAAAACATAACTGCATTTTTAACCCTTGACTCATTTTTTAAAATTATTTTTCCCCCTGAAGGTGCAAAAGGAGATTAAGAAGTTACTGCTGTCATTGTCTTCCTCTCCCATCTCACCTGAAAATTTTAGACTCTACTTGATCTTGCCTTTCCTTCTGCGGGGCAATGATGACAGCTCTTTCCATTCTCTCAGCCTGCTAGCACAAGCCATCACGAGGCTTCAGCCAAAGGCCCTGCAAACTCTTGGTAGGGTTTCATAATGATAGAAGTGAATGATTTAAATGCTTTGTTATTTTCAGCTGCAGAGCAAGAGTTGGTACCACCGTTGTAATTTGTTCAGCCTGGAAAAAATGCTTTTGGTAGAAGTAGAAACATGGGACCTATGCAGAATGACACAAGATAAAAAAAAATCTCATTCTGAGGCTTAATAATCTTTGTAGTGCAAAATTAAGCCTTTTTCGGAGTAGTTAATTCGATAAAAAGAGAAAACACAGCTTCATCTAAAATTGGAGTTATTTTCATGTTACCTGGGATGAATACTTCACTGCTGTTTTCTTTACAGAACACCTGTTGTCAAATCTAGAAACACCCTTTTTCAGGGGGCTGGTCTTTCTGTATCAGAGAGTTTCCCAGAAAAACGTGTCAGAATTTGTCACGGATATTGTCCAAAGAGGCATGGATTATCTAATAAGCCCCTATGACGGGAACTCACGTGAACCAGAAACTCTGCAAATACTGCAAATTCTTTACCAGGTGAGAAAGAGTTTGGATCCTGTTTAGAGAAGAGGTGTCAGTGTGAGTTTTAACCCTTTTCACTTGTTGAATTCTCTGCGTTTCCTTCTTACAAGGGAACATGAGGCCTCATAATTTGACACTGCTTCAGGAATCTCTCTGGCTGTACATCAGCGTAGCTTTGAAGGAGTCAGGCTCTTGCCTTGTGCCTGGCCGACCCTCTACAGAAATGAAGAGCTGAAGCATGTGATAGCCCCTGGCAGGGGCAGGGATGCATTCAGTAGTGCCAGAAGTGCATGCATGGATGCATACAGAGCTAAGGATGTGCTGTCCATTCCCCTTTCCACTAGTAAGATCCCTCACCCCAGTAACTGCTCACAGCATCTCAAAGACAACACACCTGGGCCTGGCACATGGTGGCTGCTACAGTAACTCTGCATGGTGCTTTAAAAGCCTGCTACCCAGGAAATTCTCTGGGACAACAGAATTAGAGTATCTTTAGCTGTATATGAGAAAGGGAAAGAAAGAGGGCAGTAATTGCCATCTTCGTGAGAACCATCCCTTCGCCTGCTGAGATATTCAAAGTTTAGGAAAGTCAAGAGCTTGAGCATGCGTTTAGTATGAATTGGAGAGAGTTGTTAAATCTTGTTGAGAATTGAATATCCTTTTGGCTGAGAATGCAGATTTAGGCCTTGGAGTTTAGACTCTTGAATCTGTATTAAATCAAGATAAATAAACTCCAAAGAGCAGCAGGCCAGCTGCACTGTAAGTGGTCATGTAATTTGCAGCTTTATGTATTCACTGTTCCCCCCCCCAATAGTATCTTTGCCAGGCAACACGTAGCAATGTGAACATTCAACGTGAAACACACCTTTCCTGAGGGAGTACCGTTCAGGGGTCTGCAGTGTAAATGAAAATTGCTTTCCTATTAGTTTATACACAGCTTTTTGAGACTTCTCACTCTAGAGTGCTGTGCTACTTGTAGCGTTTCTATCCTGCCACTTCTGTGCAGGGTCTGAGAGCAATTCTGCCGAGCCCTGTTACTCCTTAGTCCTGTCCTGCCACAGATGCAGAGCTCCCTACACCTACTGACACCCCTTTCCATACTGTGTGTATCAATGCAGGTGAACTCCAGAGCTGGTTTCAGAGTACTAGCAAAAAACTTCTACGTGCCTCAAGTGAAAGAAGCTATAGTAAATCATATGAATTTCTGTGCAAACGTAAGTATAAAACCTCACCAGCAGTGCCAAACACTTTTTGTTTTCTGTTTTATTTAAATGAGTTGATATACATGAAAGTCCAGACTCTAGCTGAGCACATCTCAAAGACAGTGTCTTCCCTAGTCCTCCAGCTGTTCTATATTAAGCAGACTATTTACCATTCCAGTACTTCAGCAGCTACAACAGTACCTTTTGCAAGATGACCTTTGGTTCTGAGAGCTGCAGGTATCCTCCAACGTCTTAAGCAGCTCTTTTTGCTTTGAACTGGTGATCGGCGTGAAATGGCACCATGAGGGATGGTTGCTATGCTTCTTGTTACTTTGGATTCTACTATGTTTAATTAACAGAACCACAGTGAAGTCTCTTAAAACGTTTATATAGCAACCCTCCTGAGCATTTTAATTTGCTTACATTGAAAAACAAAGCTGTGGTAATAAAAAATAATCTGTGAAATGGTCCATTTCTTCGTGACGATGCAATCAGTGTCATAGGAAGTAGCATGGAATGGAAACATGGATAACAGAAGCTTCCTTAGGCAAAAATGCAGTTTTCTGGCAACTTGGCTGGAATTTGCAGGGCAACGACTCACTCCTTTCAGAAGCTTTTGTTTGCTAATGTGCCAATTCTCTACCAATTAACCAGAGTGGAGGAGGTTTAAGAAACAGTATACAACCAGATATATATATATATATAGTAGTATATATATAGTAGTATACCAGTATCTACTTTTGGTATTACAGTTAATAAACCCATCAGTTTTTAACATTAAAATGTACCATAATCTGCGTATTCAGGACATTTTCACTATGCGTTTTGGTTTAGCTGAATTACAGAAGATGCTGTTAAAACCACTCTTTCTGTGCTTTTTTTTCGAGGCACTGTAACACAAGTGTCTGCCTGCACAGATAGTTCAGATGCCTCTCTGTCAGGGTTTCTCACTCACAGAAGTGTTTAGAAGCTGCTTTTGGGGAGTGTGCCTATGTTGGTATAGTGTACAGAAGGGCATGTTTCAGAATACACACTGGCAGTTCAGTCTGCATATGTACCCCCAAACTCTGATTTTGCAAGAAAAAACCAACACGTCTTCATCCTTGTTATTTCAGACACCCCTATGGAATCTGACCAAGTATCCATGCATCTTTAGCATGGAAGACAAGCTCTTAGTTTATGACATTGAAAGCAAGACTACAGCTGTCCATTTGGGTCCTGTAAGTGTGGCAATTTTTTTTTACAAGTTAGAAGAGATAAACACACCACTAACAGGCTGTTCCTTCAATCTTCAGGTAGTCTTAAGAACGATAGCCTGGGAACAGTGGCTTTTTCCAGTCCGAAGACAGTACCTTCTGCAAGACCTATGGAACAATTTAAATAGTGCCTCAACCCAGCAATTCAGGAGCATCTTAAAGGTAAGATATCGTATTTGTTAGGTCAGAAAATACTGTGGCAGTGTGCTTTGGGTTCCAGTGTTACTGAAGTGTTGATAGAAGGGCTGCAGTATTCATAACAGAACTACTCATCACATTTTTATAAAACATGTTCCATGGGGAATCTAGAGTAAATCTGGAGGGCAGAATCTTATATTCTTATTCCAGGTAGCCATCAGGCTTTGTTGGTGTAAGTTAAATGCTGTTTGGGGTGATGTAATAGGATTTCTCAGGAAACTGGTAATTGGCAAAGTCCATTACTATTTCTGCTAGACTGTCTTCAGAGACTCCAGGCTAGTTTGCTGTATGTGAAAAACTATGTGGCTGCGCAGCCAGCCTTAAGAGTCTGGCAAGCAACACAGCCACAAAAGCCATTGCTCTCATGGAGATGCTGCCTGAGAGGAAAAGGATAGTACCAGCAAGGGAGGTGAGAAGCACTTTATAAGTCTCCTGTCTCCATGTGGCTTTAGTTTCCACACAAACCCAAAGGTTCTGGCAGCTGTATTTTCTGAAGGTGTTGCAATGCTAGCCCTGCCCTACAGAAGCCATCAGCTGGCTGACATGGCAGCAGTGCAGCTGGCCAGCCTGGAGCTCAGCTCAGGGACTGTGTGCCCTATCAGTCACTCACATGAGCACGGTTAGTCTGGTAACACGCCTGCCAGAACCAGCAACCACAGTACCCTGTTACCCAGTTCTGCTTCTTTCCAAGTGAGCCTTCTTGCCAACCTGATCTGTCAAAGCTCTTCTTTGATGAACACCAAGAAGGTTCTCAACAGCTCCTAGAGCTACCTTTCCTTCCCCCTTGCTCAGGACATGAGCTGAAAGAGGAATTTATTTACGGTGGCAATAAGGCTTGTGATCTGCACTGTCCTCTAGGTCTGGAGTCTGTCTCCACTGATTGAACCAGGAGCTCTGGCAAACAGCTGCACTTAGCCACCCAGCCTTTGAATACAGCTCTTGCGGGCACTGCCCTTCCTCCTGCCACCACAGCATGATTTGCCCAGTAGTAGCCTGATCAATTTGTGTTATTAGTAAGTGTCCCACCCAGAGATGTTGTGGTCTGCAGTATTTACAACTAAATTTCTGAATTTTTCACCAGGTAAAGGATATTCATGTGTTTGTGTTGCAAATATAAATTGCCTAGTAACACAAACATAAAAACCAAAATCTTTGGAATAGATTATTGTAGCATTAACCTGTTTCTTTATAGCTCTGTCCTGTAAAGACATTTTGTCAGGCAGTAGCAAGAGCAGTTCCCTGCATATGACACCCTCCTAGTGGTCTGCCACTCCATTCTCTAGTGTTACTGTAAATGAAAACAGGGAAGGCTGAAGTATCTCCTGTTCCCTCTCCCCTTCTGAGTGAGGAGACAGTGCTAAGAAGAAAGACACTCAACAACAGATTTAAACAGCATTTCTAGCTGCCAACTTGGCTACCAAATCCTGGGCTCAGCTGGAGTAGTTTTTCCTCTAACCTGTTAGGACCTGCCCCTTTAATGAAGATGACCTAGCCTGGCTATCAAACTTGGACACTCAGACACATTCAACAAATATAATAGGGACATGCATCTCCTAAGCAGACACTGGAAACTGGCTCTTACAAAAGCCCTAAATGTGCAAGCACATCTTTTCTGCAGCGCTGCCATTTCCTCACCTTTTTCTGAAAATAAAAATATTAAAAAATGAAAAAGGCAAGCAAGCAGCTACTGGACATACAGACTAGGCTACCATCCAAGTAAATGTCTTCACTTAACTCAAGTTTTGCAATTAAACATCAGCCTAGTTTTTTTTTAATGTTCTGACAGGGAAATTCTACATTCTTTAGGCCACCCATTAAAGTGGCTGAATCAACAACCCCTGGAGGTGTTTAAAAGATTGTAGATGTAGAGCGTAGGAACATTGTTTAGCACTGGACTGGGTAGAGCTGGGTTAATGGTTGGACTCGATGATCTTACAGGTCTTTTCCAACCAGAAAGATTCCGTGATTCTGTGACACAAGACAAATACACTTCAATACACACGTCAATTCAAAATTAAATCAAAGCTTGTAATTCAGAGAGACAGTCATATCATGATGCATGTCATTCTTATTATTTAAGATCATTTAGTTCAGTCAGGGTACAATTCTTCCTGTAAAAGCAATCACCACCTAAAAGATTTTCATTAGTGCCACTACCAATGCCCAACACTTGCTGGGATACACTGGAAGGAATTGGTGGTTCTAGTTATTCCTTCTCTTTATCTGTCTTAGCAGTAATTAAGTAATAGGCTGTTGCAGAGGACTCCCTCAAGTTCCACATTCCACTAGGAAAATTATGACAGTCACTAGTGCCAAAAGGGAACTCTCCCAAACCCACTGCAATACCTGACGAGATTAAACAAACCGTGCTGCTTTAGGGCAGCCCCGGGGCTAGCAAATGCACGGCACTAGTTGTGCCTGAAAAGCTTAATCCCCATCCAGGTCCACAGGTGGAAGAAGACATAAACCGGTATGGTAACAGGAAGGAGGAGACTGTAGAAACACAGGCTGTTGGTGCTGGTGCAGCCCTGTGGGAAGGCCTCATCCACGCTGGCGGAGTAGAACAGGCCTGCCAAGGAGAGCAGGGGCACCAGCACGGTCAGGGTGGGCAGGGAGGGCAGCATGCCTCCTCCCGCGGCCCCTAGGCCTGCTGCGGGCCCTCGGCCGCGGGCTGCTTCCCGGTCGTCCTGGCGCCTCGGGGATTCATGTTCGGGATGCCGTCAATGACGGGGTACGCGATGGCCCGCTCCTCGCTTATGCG